AAAGTAATTTTACAAAAGAAAGAGAGATATATGAATGTGTATGGACATATTTCATATATGAATATTTATGCATGTTTATACATATTTATACATATTCATGCATGAAAAATTTTTTATCGAAAATTGTATTTTATGTTTCGTATTTTAATGGAGCACATGAAAATATTTTATATATTTCATGGAAGTATCTAAAAATATTTTGTATTTTGTATTTTATATTTCAAATACTATGATTGACAATCAATCTTATTATTTAAATTACAAAATACAAAAAACTTTCAATCTTTCAATTTTAAATACGAAATATGTGATACTTTCATAGGCTCCGCTAAAATATTATACAAAATATAAAATATACTTGTATTGCAAATATTATGTTTTAAATAAAAGTATGTCAATCCCAGCCCTGGATATAATATAAACATAATTCTAATTATATATTATTGAATTATGATTTATTTTTAGTACATTTATTTTATGTGCAAATTGTTACATCTCAATTATATTAAAGATCGACTGTCTCAAGGTGCCAGTATGGTTGTGCAACATCTTAAAAGAAAAACAAATAAAACAATAAATTGCTACACATATCTATACAATTTTATTTTTTAGTTTTCTCTTAAAAATATAATAATTTCATAATTCTGAAATACGTAAAATATATGGCAGCAAATTGAAAGAAAACACTGAAAACATTTTAATTCTAGGAAGCATCTACGACTGCAACAGGATAATTGTGTCCTCGTTATTGAGAAAGAATAATTATGATCCGATGGAGTTAGGAATTTCTGCTCACAAGTAAATGTAATCGAAATTTATTGTGATTCTTCTAATCATTATAAAACACGATTTAGGTTATGAATAATTATCGTGATTTAATCTTAATTAATTTAATGATTACGTTCTCATAGATTGGTTGATATGGCCAATAAAATAAAAAATGCTTTAGAGAAAGTGGATATACTCGTAATAATAGGCCGTGCAAATGACAAAGACCTACTGAAGCCCATCTTAAAAGACATATTTTAACGCAATGATACATTTCGGTATTTTTCTTCTTATATTAATCATTGATTAATATCCTATGATAACATTTTTTGCTCAAGGATTCTTTTTTTTCAGATCGCGTGGAGATGAAATCAGGAAAATCGAAGAAAAAAGACAATGTTTGCAACGTGCAACATAAAATGAAGTTTTTCCTATGCATGTCGGCAAACCCCACAACTGTTTCCGTTCTCACGCATGTATTGCTTCTACCATTTCTAAACGAAATTATTGCTGTTACTTGACAAAACCCATTAACATACAGGCTTGCGTAAGACTTCTTCTTGCATCCCGGAAGATACATACAGGAAGAGACGTATTCATTGATACTTACTGTTATAACTTTATAAAAATACAAAACACGAGCTACATTTGCGTCCGAAATTTTCCTGAACATTACGCTGGACGGAGACAGAAATATTTCCAAGAGCTTACTTGCAAAATCAATATCAAAATGTAATGAACTATCAAAAAGATAATGCGCTTCTAATGTTGCTACCGTGTTCGCCAAATCAGCCGATATGATATTAGATGCAGCATTCGTACCTACGATGTTTCTCAGCTGAAAAATCTCTAAGATATTCCTAATCGACTAGTAGGACATTCACATATATTTGCGTTATTTAGTTATATAAAATATATATATTATTTAATTATAATTGACTAACTGTTACATTTAAATTGCATTTTAATTAAGATTTAAATGAAAAAATTACGCTGTATAAAAAGAACAAGCGTATAAGCAAAATATAGAGATTGGCAAGAAGAAATTAAAGATCATTTCATCGATAATCATATCATTTCATACATTGATAAATACAAAGAAAATCTTTTTTTTTTAGAAAAAAATATCAAGATATCAAGTGCTTGTTTCAGTTTTTTTCTATCTCTATTACTTCACAATTTAATTGTAGAAATTTCGCGCAAACTAAAGTTCTATTAAAAAACCCATTTAAA